GCTTTCAACTAACCTAATACAGTTATTTGAAATCTGTTGACATGATACATTTAATTCAAGTCAACGGTTCAATTTGTTCAGTGCCTTCATTTATTTTCACTTTCTTTATGTATGCCCGCTTTTGCATGAACATATTCACAGGTCATGTGAATACATAATACATATTGTAAAGATTAGAATGTGTAAACAAGTATTTTCCAACCAATCTCCAAACATCACACAAAGCAGCCCACACACTCAGACCTGTTGCACTGCAGAGACATGCAGTAGAACTCCCACAATCCTCCTGTACAGCTTCAGTCTGCAGGCTTACACAATGCGGGCTCAAACTCAGATACTGCTCAAGAGTTCTGTACAGGTACTGAAGAAAGTAAATGATTAAACACGAAGGGAGAAAACAGAAAATAATAGTATGATAATCAGAGGTGATTGATATTGATATTAAGCTTTGCAAAATCATCCCCATCCACACGTGCAAGTTGTTTTCAGCCCCTACAATATGGACATGTTTTTTTGTTTTTTTAAATCTTAATAAACAACATCTCTGGGCTTTGGACTGACCAAATATGATATAGTATGTAAAACAATTAATTTAGTAATCAAGAAAATTAATAAACTGATGAAAATTCAATTAATGCAGGTCAAATAGGTATTTTATATGTATCTATATAACTGTCAAATACTAAGCCACAATGGTGCAATAACCCCCCCCACACACACACACACACACACACACACACACACACACACACACACACACACACACACACACACACACACACACACACACACACACACACACACACACACACACACACACACACACACACACACACACACACACACACACACAACACACACAGACTCCCGTCCCTTCCAGCTGCAGAAACTCATTCATGCCTTCATGTTTTGCTGAAGCAGCATATTCCATATGAACTATGGGAGGCCTTCAATAATTCAACTCGGCCCTCACAGACCCCTGGCCGGGGGGACTCTAGACCTCTCTCCATCCCACGCTCCATATCTCCCAGTAAACAAAACATATATTTCTGTTCGGGTCTCTATTCATTTTATAAAGCATTATTTCCCACCATCAGCCAGACGAAATCTCTCTCAGCTAAATCTGTGAGAGCGAGGTCTATGTTTAAAATATGACTATAGGTTTGTTCAGAATTATAATTGTATTTGACTTTAGTTTTTCATAATTACACTCAATAACATTTTATCCAAATCACCATATGAACCAGTACAGTGTCCAAATCACCATATGAGCCAGTGCAGTGTCCAAATCACCATATGAACCAGTGCAGTGTCCAAATCACCATATGAACCAGTGCAGTGTCCAAATCACCATATGAGCCAGTGCAGTGTCCAAATCACCATCTGAGCCAGTGCAGTGTCCAAATCACCATATGAACCAGTGCCGTATCCAAATCACCATATGAGCCAGTGCAGTGTCCAAATCACCATATGAGCCAGTGCAGTGTCCAAATCACCATATGAACCAGTGCAGTGTCCAAATCACCATATGAACCAGTGCAGTGTCCAAATCACCATATTAACCAGTGCAGTGTCCAAATCACAGTAGGCGCAAAATGTGGTAAAATATGTACAAATATCTGAATGCAGTGTTGTGGAGCTGCAGAGAAGTCCCAGCCTAAAACAATTCTCCAGAATCAATAAAACATGCTTGTTTGGTACAGATCCTCCTTATCACAACATTATCATTTACAAAATACATTTCAATGATAATTTGAATAATAATTCAAAAATGATTGTTCCTTGTAATGTCGCAAATCATATTGCACTTGCAAGACTTAAAATAATCTCAATGAGTTCATTTTTCCAAATCATGCAGCAGTATTTTATAAAAGGACCTCTGCAGGACATCCAACTACTCTTTCAGGATGAATAAAGTGATCAATACATTTAATGTTACATTTCCTTTTTGAACACATCGTGTCCTCTCTCCTGGTGACTGTGGTCAGAGGACCGTCTGTGTGGAGCTCTCAGTGATGGATGTGTGACGGTGCAGCGCCCTCTACTGGGATCTGATCTGAGGCTGGAGCATGGAGGAACATCAGGACGGGTTCACAGGATCCTGGTCCCTACAGCTGCTCCTCCACTCACAGGTACTGCTTTTATATTCAATATTTCACACATACTGTACAAAAACACTTAAACATTGACTTTATGCACTTTATTAAACTGAACACTGTCTCTTCTCTGACAGTGTTATTAAAAATGCCGTCGATACAGATCAAGTTAAATGTGTATTGTTATATCCAAGCGTTATTACCCATAACTCCTGCGCTCTGTGCTCTGAGCAGCAGCAGAGGGACCCCTGACTCTGAAGGGTGCCACTAGTTCACAACATGTGAAAACCCATGCCTGTCTCTGTAGAAAGGACTTTACTGTGTGAGAGTAAATATGCTCCCCATACAGCCTGCATACATGGCTGCTATGAACATCCTGATCTGACAGGAAGTCATGCTCACATTGTATGTTTACACAATTGACTGTGAAAGCTGCCAAAGAAAAAGCACACAAGTATGGACTATATTCAATGTTATGGTTGCCAATATTTAGATCAAAGTATTCAATTCATAACGCTCTAACCACCAGATTTAATACCTGAGTTTCTCATACCTGTACGTCACCAAAAAGATAATGACTGCTTCACAAACCTACTCTCTCGATGAGAAAAGTCAAGATGGGGACTTCTCACTCACATATAAATGTAATCAAAATGTATTAACCTGTTCTACACCCCCCCCCCCCCCCCCCCCCCCCCCCCCCCCCAATAAACTATGAATGTGTTATATCCATGTAACGGGGAAGAGACTCAGCTAACTGATCTTTTTATTTTTTAAAAACCCACAAAGCTAACGCTGAGCCTCTGAATTTGCCACGAGCGAAAAAATGCTAACGCATTACTGCACAGAAACTCACTGGTAACACCCTTATTATTTATCGTAGCTGCACGTCCAACCCATCGATTCACATCGTGAGGAGACACAGAATCGATCGGTACATACATCATCACTCCATGATAAGAACTTGCGAAGATATTAACAAGAACAGACATCAAAACATGTGGCGCTAGGTAGCTAAAACGGCAACATGGCTCACCTTGGTCGTTGTCTGGTCAAAAGTGGTCTTCGATGGCATTACAATGATAAAAACGCTGCTGAAGTTAATCCATATAACCTATGGATTAACTTCAGCAGCGTTTTTATCATTGTAATGCCATCCAATGTGTCTGTGTCCCTTTGAAATGATTTCTGATCATCCATAAGCAATAAACCTGCTTTTCCGTTTCCAGATGTCAGAGCTAGAGATAGCTTCACTCTCATGCAAACCTGCAGACGCAAAGCCCCCACCTTTTTTTTGTTAACGTGTGTGTCTATGTGGAAATCCCCCTTCGATTCTCTTGGCTCCAATGGTCAAAAAGAGATGTCAATCACCAAAATCGACCAATGGGTTCCAGAGAAATGGTAAAAACGCCCATTTCCACCCAAATCACCTCAGAGGTGGAGTTATTTTTGCTAAACCTCTCCAAAAAGGTCAAATGTCACTTGTTTTGCATCCATTTTGATACAGGGTACATATTATATGTTGTACTTTGGATTCATAAAGCTTTTAGTCTACCTTACCATCATCCAAGGGTAGTTTTCACTATAAGTAAACACATTTAAATCTGAACTTTCTTTATAATAAAAAACATCTATACTGATTCTGACTTTTCTACATCCAACTCACAAGTTTATCATTACTTTGAGAAAAAATAATATTAATTTACCCCTTTTAGAAGGGAAGATATGGTCATTTGATCTGGGCATGTCATGTTCGAGCGTGAGACCTGAAAAACAGGCTCAGTGCTTAACAGGTTAATAAATGTAAATAATGTAAATGAATACATTTCTATAAAAACACATTTTAAATACATATATTTGTTTTGTATAGATGTCTGATGCAAACACAATGTTGCTCAACTCAACAGCACCATACTTGACTGCGGAACTGACTTGAAAAATGATTATGGAAGGGTCTTTCATATTATTTTTGAAAGATATTTCAAAGTCCAGAGATTAAATAATAAATTAAAAGGAAATGTAGGCATTTTTAAAATAATGATCTTGATAATAATGTTATGTCATTAAAAAAAAGATAAAATAAGCACACATTCAAACTCTGGCTACAGTCCAGTTCAAACCCCCTGCTCCGCCATGCAGAGAGCATCACTTATTCACAAACAAAATGAAATAAGTAAAATAAAACTAATACTATTTATTTTACAATATAAAGATATATTGATTGTGATTAGAGTCACAGTCACAATTGACAAAAACACCATCAATCTGGAGTCCTGAACCCAGCAACAACATGAATGATGAAGTCATTCAGAAAGGAAGTGTTTTTCTGAAGGTCTAGCAGCACTACAGAGTCGGACAGTCAGTGAACCTGTCCTGGGGGGGTCTTCCCCCGCCTCATCCTCACAGAAGTGGGGGGAAGCCTCAGCATCAGCTGTACAAACTTCAGCATGGTGGCAGGACACACACACACACACACACACACACACACACACACACACACACACACACACACACACACACACACACACACACTACACTTAAAACTGAAACATTGACTTTAATGAAATGTATTATGTCAACAGATTTAAAATCACTGTATTGATAGCAATAATATTAAGTTGAACCTGATTTTTTTTTTAACTTAGATTATTGCTTTCAACTCACCTAATACAGTTTTGTGAAATATGTTGACATCATTAATTTAAATAAAGTAATGTTTCAGTTTTATCACTGTACGCATTTACACAGGCTTCATATCCAAACTTGTATCTTACTGTCAGCACACAGTTATCCTGCTACACTCGCTTTACCAGCTACAGCAGCACACAATGGCATGTGCACGAGACGAGGAATACTGTAGACACGCTCACACAAACACTCACACACACACTCACACACACTCACCTGCTGTAGATACATGAAGGTGAGGGCTGCGCAGGACAGCTGGGGACAGGTGTCCGCGCTGGGTAACGCCACGCAGGTTCCTCCAGGATGCTGCATGTTCCCTCCTCTGGCTGACAACACTAACCCCCCCGACTGTACACTGCCCTGCTCTGAGCGCGAGGTGGGAGGTACACACACACACACACACACACACACACACACACACACACACACACACACACACACAGAGAAAAGGAAAGAAAGAAAAATGAAAGAAAGAGAAAGGACGACTGGATGAGATTGAGCGGAGAGATGGAGCTGCACAGGATCCAGTCCTGTACCACGGAGTGATGTGTGCTAACAGGAGGATGGAGGAGAGAGAGGGGGGGAGAGAGAGAGAAAGAGAGAGAGATCTGCTGCAGTGTGTGTGTGACTCAGTGTGTGTGAGAGAGAATAAGTGTGAGTCTGACTCAGTATGTATGCGTGCTGGTCCGTGTGTGTGTGTGTGTGTGTGTGTGTGTGTGTGTGTGTGTGTGTGTGTGTGTGTGTGTGTGTGTGTGTGTGTGTGAGTGAGGCCAGCAGTCAGTGTGACTGCGATCACTGGAGCGTGAGGGAGGCAGAAAATTGTCTGTGTGTGTTTCTAATGTTCTGTGTGTGTGTGCACATTTTGCTTTCTTTTACAATATGCTGATCTCTCTCTCTCCTCCTGATGAATTGAAGTTCTCTGACATGTGTTCCTGGAGGCGATCGAGGATGCTGACTGCAGCCACAATACACACACACACACACACACACACACACACACACACACACACACACACACACACACACACACACTGTGATGCCATCATTTGGCGGTAAAACTTCAGGAGTCATGCAAAAATACCACAAAGCTCAGCGTATCTTTACTTTACACAGAAATGTGCCACTATATTCACTGACGACTGTTTAGATAAGTAGATAAGTTTAACAGATGCAGTAATCACAGTATGTCCGAGAGAAGAACTGATTTGATGTGAGCAAACAGGATACACTGCTGCTTTACTCTGCAGCCTGCAGCCCTTTTTCACAGCTGTTAAAGGGGCCCTATTCTGCTCATCTTTAGGTTCATATCACTATGTAGTGTCTCTTCTGGGACATGTCTCCATGCTTTAATGTTCAAAAAGCTCTTTATTTTCCTCATACTACCTTTGCTGCAGCACCACTGTTCACCCTCTGTCTGAAACCAGAGCCCAGTCCCCTCCTGACCCAGAAAGCGACACAGGTTCTGGTCCAGGCTCTCGTCATCTCACGCCTAGACTACTGCAACTCCCTCCTGGCTGGTCTACATGCATGTGCCATCCGACCTCTGCAGCTCACCCAGAATGCAGCGGCTCGTCTGGTCTTCAACCTTCCTAAATTCTCCCACACCACGCCGCTCCTCTGCTCCCTTCACTGGCTTCCAGTAACTGCTAGAATCCACTTCAAGACAATGGTACTTGCGTACCATGCTGCGAATGGATCTGGCCCTTCATACATCCAGGACATGGTTAAACCGTACACCCCAGCACGTACACTCCGCTCTGCATCAGCTAAACAGCTCGCTGCACCCTCGCTGCGAAGGGGACCCAAGTTCCCATCAGCAGAAACACATGGGTTTGCTATCCTGGCTCCAAAATGGTGGAATGAGCTCCCCATTGACATCAGGACAGCAGATAGCTTACACACCTTCCGGCGCAGACTGAAAACTCATCTCTTTTGACTCCACTTCGAGCGATAGAACTATTAACGAAGCACTTTTATACTAATAAAGGACTGGCTTATCTAAAGCCAGTTGAGTAGCACTTGAAATGTTTGGCTCTATGAAACATGATCTACTTATATGATTCTGTTTTCTTCAAGGTTGTGTCTACTTGGTCGAACGCACTTATTGTAAGTCGCTTTGGAAAAAAGCATCAGCTAAATGTAATGTAATGTAATCTGGTAAATGCCGACATATTTCAAACCCAACCCCATCTCCAGTCTGTCTCACCGGCTTTATGATACAAATGTGTAGTGTCCACTCCTCCCTGGAACTCTCTGGGTGCAAAGCCTAAGAGTAAATCATTTCCATGGGATTTGGGAGGACGGATAACAGGCAGAGCCCAGAGCTCTGAAATCTGTGATGCGACCGGCTGGCCTGCATTGTTATCGCCCAGGAAGAGCGTCTCTTCAACCCCTATTCATACTAGGAAACAGCAGTGGACAGCTGCTAAAGGGAGAATTACAAACAATCCTCCTAAACCACCAAGTGTGCCAATCCAGAACAGATACGCTCCGCTGACCGAGAACCGGAGATCTGATGACCTGGATAACCTGTCCTCTTCACACAGCAGGGTAAGGACCAATAGCTACTCCAAAAGTAAAAGGCTAGAGGGAAAGCTAACGACTGGGCCTGAAACTCTGATTGTGGGTGACTCTGCTGTAAGAGATGTAAAAGGTCTGTGTAGTAAGAACAACACCAAAGTACTCTGTTTTCCCAAGGATGTGGTCTCTGACTTGGCTGAGAAGATCCTGCATATTGGGGCTAAACATCTGACTGTGAAGAATGTGGTACTACACATTGGAACAAATGATGTTATGAAACAACAGTCAGAAGTGCTGAAAGAAGACTTTAAATGTTTGTTGGAAACTGCCAGCTCTCTAAATGCAGAGGTGTTCATCAGTGGCCCTCTACCGCCAGTCAGAAGAGGAGTGGAGAGATTCAGCAGATTGTTTGCACTGAACACCTGGCTTTCAACTGTCTGTACTGACCATTCTGTTCATTTTATTGACAATTGTATGTGGTGACTGATGTTGCACTCTCTGACCATTCCTGTGTTTTCTTTGAGTGCTCTATTTCTGTTCACAAAAATGTTCAAAAAGAGATAACCACAAAGCGATATTTAACTGAAAATACTAGGGAAATGTTTACTCAGAATTTTTCTTCCACACTTGCCCCTGCTAACATCTCAGTAAATGAGCTAGTAGATCATTTTAATTCAAAAATTAAAAATGTTATAGATGCCATTGCTCCAACTAAGGTAAAGGAAGTGTCTGGCAAGAAAATATCTCCATGGAGAAAGGCCATGACCGTGAAAACAGAAAAAAGAGAATGTCGAAAAGCTGAACGCAGGTGGCGAAAAACAAATCTCCAGGTTCACTTTGAAATCTATAAAGAGAGACTTGGCCTTTATAATTTGGAATTGAAAAACGCACGACAATCGTTCTTCTCTGACATCATTACCAAAAACAAAAACAACGCACGTGCCTTGTTTGCTACCGTCGACAGACTAACTAACCCCCCAGTGTCAGTAGCCTCTGAATTTCTATCCACCAAAGCCTGCAATGATTTTGCCTCCTTTTTCACTGACAAAATTCAGAAAATGTATTTTAATGTTTAATTGAACTATTCATATTAGACTGCACTGTAACTTTTATCCATGTATTTTTTCTTTTAATGTTTATTTTATTAGCTTTTCTTTTTAATGACTGATTTTAGATGCCATTTTCTTAATGTCTTTCATTTTTTGTAAAGCACTTTGAATTGCCTTGTGTTGAAAAGTGCGATATAAATAAACTTGCCTTGCCTTGCCTCAGTAGGGTTGGGTATCGTTTCAATTTCCACGATTCTGATTCCGATTCCGATTCTACTTTTCGATTCCGGTTCTTAACGGTTCTCAATTCCGATTATTTGAGGGGCAGGGTAAAAAAATGATACATGCTTCTTCCACCAAAAAAATTACATTTATTCGAGAAACTTTTACACAGGTTAGTTTACAGTAATATTCACATTAATCAGTCTGTTTATATTCACTGCTATGTAACTGCAACCTGAGAACCACTGAAGCTACAACAGTGCAACAGTCCAACTTTTAAAGAACAGTTCTTGTTGAGAAAAACAAGCATATCTGCCTTCTCGGGCATACCGGGAAGAAATGTTTGAACATTTCAAAGTAAAATGCTTCAATCTGGTGCACTTTAAGCAGAATTACTAGAGACTAGATCTAGGGGGTACAACTCTAAACACCCATATGAAAAAGATCGGTTTACATTTTAATAATTAAATAAGTATGTGAACATAATCAATAACCCACCATAGCCAATAACAAATACATGTAACTTATTTTATTTTTGTTGTTCATTCATATCTTATTTTACTATTTTATTTATGCATATGTTTTTATCTCTCCAGTTTAAAACGATATGTCTGGTTTACTGTCCTATAGTATACATTGGAATGATTTCAAACCTGTTTTATCCCAATAATTATAAAGGAGTGCCTTGGAAATATGTGTTTACATAAATTGTGATCAAAACATTTGAGACCCACTGAGATAACTTAGACTAAAGTGAACTATCTAAACACTCAGAGTCCTTTACCTCACTGAGCTGTAGTTATCAGCCTCTCAGTCTGACTGGAGAGGACTCTCCCTCCACATTATTGTAGAAACATCTTCTTCTTCCGTTAGCGCAGCTAGCACCAGATGCTAATAACAACAGCGCTGGTACCGGTGGCGTCTATCGTTTTTCCTACCCAGTTTAGATCCCACTTCCGCATTACGCAAGCATCGACGCGGCGTTATGTCACAGCATCAACCTGGCGTTACATCCCTATGGTTACATCACTGCCTCACGCGGCACACCCGCGAAATCTGAATCTGACAAGCGAAATACCGTCCTTTTAAACGCTGCATAATATACAATATAATAGTGCTTCTTTGTCAATATGACTGACGACCACACTTATGCAGTGCTGAGGAATGTTAATTCCTGATGGATATAAGAGGGATACATTAGCAAAAACGTATTTAGTCAGCCACCAATTGTGCAAGTTCTCCTACTTAAAAAGATGAGAGAGGCCTGTAATTTTCATCCTAGGTATACCTCAACTATGAGAGACAGAATGAGAAAATGAAAATCCAGAAAATCACATTGTCTGATTTTTAAAGAATTTATTTGCGAATTATGGTGGAAAATAAGCATTTGGTCAATAACAAAAGTTCATCTCAATACTTTGTTATATACCCTTTGTTGGCAATGACAGAGGTCAAACGTTTTCTGTAAGTCTTCACAAGGTTTTCACACACTGTTGCTGGTATTTTGGCCCATTCCTCCATGCAGATCTCCTCTAGAGCAGTGATGTTTTGGGGCTGTCGTTGGGCAACACAGACTTTCAACTCCCTCCAAAGATTTTCTATGGGGTTGAGATCTGGAGACTGGCTAGGCCACTCCAGGACCTTGAAATGCTTCTTACGAAGACACTCCTTCGTTGCCCGGGCGGTGTGTTTGGGATCATTGTCATGCTGAAAGACCCAGCCACGTTTCATCTTCAATGCCCTTGCTGATG